AAAAAAAAAAAAAAAACCCTCACCTGCACTTGATTCTATTGTCAGCTTGCTGTGAACAATTTTTGCTTTAATATATGAATTACATTAATACCTCACATTACATATATGAAGCCAAATTACACTAACTTAGTTTGCTTACAACCTCAAATCTTACTCCCAGTACACATTCCAATAAATTTATTCTGTAAAAACAATACATTTTTTTGTTTTTGATTTTTTTTTTACAGTAAACTTTTCAACTACAAACCTTGAATACGCGAAAGATGTTCCAAGGACAAGCATTAACAAGATTGATAAAAATCAAACTGACTAAATGTGTTCTCACAATATAAGCTGGCATAAAAATAAATAAAATTCTCTATTTCACAATAGCAACAATAATGTACACATAATAATGGTTTGTGGATGAATATTAACTATTCTAATTGTAGTTTCAAAAGAAAACAGTTTATTTTAAAAGTCTACATTTAAAAGTCAATGCTTTGTCTGGTTTCCCATAGGGCTGTTGCTGTTTCTAGCTTTAAAATGTAAAGTACCCACCTTGAGTGCTTAGCTCAAAATTGTATTGGCACTGGGAAAAAATAAATCATTGCCTTTATTTTGGAGTAACACAAAAAGACTCACTAACTTCACATATAGAAACTTAGTTTGTGTACATAACAATATGAATTTTGAGAAGTATAAGCTGTCAACTAGCTATTTCTAATACAGAATAGATATTTTACAATATGGTTAAACTTTACACATGGCCTCAAAACTGAAGGACAATTTTAATTTCGTCTTCAATATACCAACATTATGTATTTAGGATTTAGTTCCTGGGTTCTGTCACAGAGAGGAAATTCCATTCTTAAGCATTATGTTGAGTGGTCATCTAAAAATGTTAATTTATACTTAACTGGGTGTTTGGTGATGGTGGGGTAAAGGCAGGAAAATGATGATCATAACTGCCTTGATAAAAGGATCTTAGGCATGTATAAGTCTGCGCAAAAATCTTGATAATCCTTAGTGGTTAAGGGCAACTTCATGCAACCAAATAACATGAAATTAAATCAGTAACTTTTAAAAAAGGCTAAAATGTCTTTTCCCCCCGAAACACAACAGAGAGGAATATGAATAATGTACATACAAACTGGGGTTCTGTCAATGACAACAAGGACTATGTGTTGGTTCTTATCAAATCCAAGAATATTAGACAACCAAACATATAACCTTCTTGTGGTTTCTCTTAATATGCAGCATTCATTATGGTAGTTAGGTCTGTAAAAAAAAAAAAAAGAAAGAAAACAAGCCTTTAGATGATTTAGGATACTACCAATGAGAGCTATCCACACCTAGATAGTACATAATTGGGTTTTCTGAAATTTTAATATGCACTGCAGCATTAACAATACTTACTGAGCAAGAGCAGCTTCTGTGGCTTTGCTTTAGACCTGTCAGTGCAAAAAGTTAAAGGAAATACTAGGGTATTTTTAGTGCCCATAGAAAAAAAGAATAAACCCTGTCTACTGTCTGTTAGGGCAGAGTGCAGCAGTGTACATTCTACAATTCTAGGACTATGTTTATTGCTGGAATACATCATCAATGGAGAAATTGATATAATCTATCTTTGTGAGGACTGTGCTGTCAGAAAGAAAGGTAAGCTGTATAAAATTTAAAAAGCACTTAGAGTGTGCATAAATTAGTCTTAAGAATATTAATAACTTAATTACTTGTGACAAATGGCTCAAACAAATTTAAGAGTCACTTAAGATGTACAGTTTTTGGCTTCTTGCTTTTGAAAAAAAAAAAAAAAACATAAAGGATAAGAGGAAGCCTAGATTTCTTTTTAAAATTTAGATGGCATCCATGTGACAAAGAGAAAAATAAAATATGTTTCATAAAATAATTATATTTCTATTTGGGTCCCACTTTAAATTGTGTCTGGTTCTATTTCCCCAAAAGGATGCTATTTTTTTCCCTCATCATTAACCCAAATATATTAAACTCCCTAGTAACACCCTCATGGGATGAATGAAAGAGGGAACTCAGGTCTCAAATATTTTTTTCTAAAAACAGCCAACTTCCACTCTTAATTTCACTAAATGAATGAACATGTTTGTAAGCACATGTGCACACTCATGGGTATGTTCTCATTCAGACAGTCAAAATGTATGCTAAATGCTATATATTATAATAAATGATTCCAGTACCTTCAAAGGAGAAAAACTTTCCAAACCTTCCATCCCCTTAAGACAGCAGAAATACACTTTTTAGCCTTCTGTCCCTACCAAAACGGGGAAGTGAATCTTAAAAAAAAATTTTTTTTAATTTATGAACTTGAAAAATGGAGTGCCTGGTGACTCCTAATTATTTCTTAACAAAAACACCAATTAGAAGATTGTACTCACAGATACTTTGGAGGATCTTCCTCATTTGTGAAGGAGGAAGACACCCATTAGAACAATGAAACATTGTTAGTCAACCAAAAAACCTTTTTTTTTTTTTTTAAGACGGAGTCTCGCTATGTTGTCTAGTCTGGAGTACAATGGCACAATCTCGGTTCACTGCAACCTCTGCCTCCCGGGTTCAAGTGATTATCCTGCCTCAGCCTCCTGAGTAGCTGGGATCACACGTGCGCACCACCATGCCCAGCTAATTTTTGTAGTTTCAGTAGAGACAGGGTTTCACCATTTTGGTCAGGCTGAACTCCTGATCTCATGATCTCCCTGCTTCGGCCTCCCAAAGTGCTGGGATTATAGGCATGACCCACCACGCCTGGCCGAAACCTTCTTTAACAATATTTTCTTATGATTACTGTGAAAGGCAATAAACTCTATGTTTACCTTGGTAGAACACTTATAGTAAAAACTACTCAATCCACATCAAAGAATATTTTTGAAACAGGTGGTCCCATGGTAGCCTCAGAGTAGAATTCGTATCCCAAACAAAGTGAAGGGAGCACCAAGAATGTGACTACAATTTTAAAGACATGCTTTTTGGGTCTTTAAACAAGGTGCTGTCAAATGGGTTCTTTGTAAAAGCAAATTACAAAATTTGAAATTAAAAAAATTCTCCCAAACCATATCACTCTTTGCATACATGTATTGAAAGCCGTATCTTGCTAATTCATCATGGTATATATTCTGGACATGGTACTCTGTCTCCTAGGTCTGAAGTCTCCTCTGAGTAAATAGCCACAAGTGGTTCCTTATGCACGCTGGTTGCCATTCACCCCTATAGTAGATAATAGCTGGAGAATCCAATCAGATTTTTTCTGGAGGTATCTAAATGTGAGGCACACTGAGACGCTGTAGGGTGGCAGTGAAGCTGAAGGATACCCAGAACACTATAAGCAGAAGCTATGAAGCAATAGAAGCCATAAGGATCTTTTCAAGAAGTACTATTGATATGAAGGAATGTCAACATGGCTACTCAGGTGTGGCAGTTTGGCACATTGTAAAAAATAAGTAACATCACTTCTAGAAAAACAACTATTTTTTGCAAATGTTAAAATTTGAGCATTTAGTGAAAATTAGAATTTTGAATCCTCCATGACTGACAGTTTTCCAATACTTAAAGACTTTTTCTTTTTTTAATAAACAGGGTCTTGCTCTGGTGCCCATGCTGGAGTGTAGCAGTGTGATCACAGCTCACTGTCGTCTTGAACTCCTGGCCTCAAGCTATCCTCCTACCTCAGTCTACCAAAGTGCTAGAGTTAACATGTGTTAGCCACCGCACTTGGCCCCAATACTTAAAAGACTTTTCTGATGAGAAAGGTAGTGATATTAAAAATGTGATTAAAAATATTTTATACTGAAATGGGTTAATATTTGGAAGACCCAAGTAATTCAGAGAACCTATATTTTCTAAATGGGGAAAAGCTATTCAAAGTGCTAGATAGATCAACAAGCATATGGAGAAAAGCTCAGTATCACTGATCATCAGAGAAATGCAAATCAAAACTGCAATGACATACCATCTCACACAACTCAACGGCTATTACTAAAAAGCCAAAAAACAACATTCTAGCAATGTTGCAGAGAAAAGGGAATGCT